GTCTCACTGACTTTTTGCCCCAGTTGGCCTTGAACCACCCATCCTCCTGATCTCCACCTCCCAAATAGCTGGGATTGCAGGCATGAGCCACTGTGCCCAGATGTTATTATTTTATGCTACTTTTGTCCAGGGTGGCTTCAAACTCATGGTCCTCCTGCCTCCACTTCCTGAGAAGCCAGGATTACAGGCATGTGACACCATGCTTGGTTTCCTCTTCTTATAAGGACACCAGTTGTATTGGGTTTGGGACCTAGCCTAATCCAGACCCTATTTCCAAGGTTACATTCCCAGGTTCTTAGTAGACATAGATTTTGGGGGCTACTATTTTGGGGACAATGACTATAGTGGTCCCGGATGGTCCAGGTGAGGGGAATGATGGCTGCAGACTCTCTCTGAATTCACTTTCCACCCTGGAGTTGAGCAGAAGTCCTAGCTTGGAAAAATGCCTCCTGGCTCACTGTCTCTTTAAAGCCCTGCACCTGTCAATCTGGACGCTGACTGTGTGGTCATTGAGTGTCACTGGGTGACAGGGTGGGGCTCACATGGCTCCTGTAGCCCCTGGCCTTGGGGTCGAGGCCTGGCTCAGGCCCCCCTCCTGGGCTCACCCCTTCCTGCTGTTCATTCACTTTCCTAAGCCCAGTCCGCCTCTCCCGTCTTGGAACTCCTCCACGTTGTCCAGCTAGTTGGGGCGTCTTTGGGGGCTTCCATGCCTTTCATCAGCCTTCTGAGTCCTTAGTGAACCCTAGAATACCTAATCGCCAACCTGCTTCCTTCCACCTTCAGTTCAGATTCTACCACCTCCAAAAAGTCCTACCCCCAGGCAGGGCCAGGCCTGGGCTCCTGCTGCTGCTCACTTTGGTCCCAGAACAGGTCTTCTCCCTACACTGGACGTTCAGGTCCAAGTTCCCAGAAGGCCCCAGCAGGAAGAGATGCTCAGAGATGTCTGATGGTCTCACTCTACCCCAGCCCCGCCCCTGCTCCCTCCCTGTCACGCCCCTGCCTTGGGGGCTCTTCCACTGCCCTGGCCCCATGGATTCAGGGTCCAGCTACAGACGGCCTCCAGACACAGGGACTGGGAGGTCAAAGCTCAGCCAAGAGTTTCCATGTTTGAAACACCCTTGGGAACCTTGGGTCACCACTAGGGGACGCGGGAGGGGGCTGGAGAAGGAAAGGGTGGAACTAATATGATTAATAGGACATTCCTCTCGGTCCCTCAGGGGGAGAAGCCAAGAAGAATTGTTGCCAGGAGCAACGCAGTCTTGCATTCTTTCCCTCGGGTAACTTGGCCTGCGTCACCCATAGGGAGTGGGGTTTCGGGGAGGCCCAGACTGGAGTATGAGCCCCAGAGAGGAATCTAGAAATCTGGGTGGGACTCTTTTCACAGAGGGGAAACTGAGGCTAGGGCTGCCTGGTGGGGTTCACACAGAAAATGAGACATAAGGTGGGCATGCAGGGACACTGGGCTCTGTCCTCAGGAGTCAGGGAGGTCCAGGCTGGGACAAGCAAGGGGGATGGAAGGGAGTTGCTACACCAGGCATGGCTGTTGAGGTGGTTTCTCCAGCTACTGGGCAGGGGGGAGGCAGCTGGGCAGAGGGCCAGGGAGCACCCACCTGTGCTCTTCCGTCTGTCCTGATGGCCCTGGCCTCTGAGCCTTTGTTCACCCAACCACTTAGAGAGCAGGATGTTCCCTTAGGACAGGAACTGGGTCTTTCTGATGGCCTGTGGGGTCCTGGGCTGGCTCCCCAGGTCTGCAATCTCAGCTATGCAAGTGGCATGGTTAGGAGGATTGAGGTTCAAGACCAGCCTGAGCAAAAAGTTAGCAAGGACTGGGTTTGTGATTCAAGTGGTACAGCCCTGAGTTCAAACCCCAGCACTGGAAACGGAGGGACAGAGGGAAGGAGGGAGGGAGGAAGGAAGGAAGGAAGGCGAGAGAGAGAGAGAGAGAGAGAGAGAAAGAGAGAGAGAAAGAAAGAAATGAAGGAAGGAGCAACACTTGGAGTGTGATTCCATTTCTATGAAACGTCCAAAGCAGGCAAACCCATGGAGACAGGAAACATCAGTGGTTACCACGGGCTGGAGAGGAGCAGGGAGTGGCTGACTAATGGGTACAGGGTGTTCTTTGGGGCAAATAAATGTTCTCAAGTGAATAGTGGGAATGGTTGTGAAATCAGACACGTTGGTCCCCACCCTCCTGGGGCTGACAGTCTGGTTGAGAAATGCAAATGCTCACAGGTTTTTTTCTTTTTCTTTTTCTTTTTTTGGTACTGGGGTTTGAACTCAGGGGCTACACCTTGAGCCACTCCACCAGCCCTTCTTTGTGATGGGTGTTTTTGAGATAGGGTCTCATGAACTATTTGCCCAGGCTGGCTTCGAACCGTGATCCTCCTGATCTCTGTCTCCTGAGTAGCTGGGATTACAGACATGAGCCACCAGTGCCCAGCATTGCTCAGAGTTTTAATGTCTGTTACAAAATTAGGAAAAAAAAAGAAAAAACCCATACATGTAAGGAAACACACACAACTCTAGGATAGCCGAGGGGTCAGAAGGGCCTCCCTGATTAACAGACGCTGGGGTTGAGGAATGGATGAGAGGACATAGAACACAGTGGACAAAGAGGTGGAGAGCCAGTGCTAAGGTCCTGTGGCACAAGAAGATAACCAAGGTTCAGTGTGGCTGGGAGACAGGGAGTACAGGATGGCTCACAGGCCTTCCACCCCAGCTAACGAGTCTAGACTCTGTTCTTGCTACATGAAGTCCTCCAGAGTTGTGAGCAGACAGAACATGGTCAAGTTTACAATCAGGTCCTTCTCGATGCTGGGAGGTGAACGGGTACCGGAGTCGGGAGAGGAAGTTGGGAGTCCAGGAAGAGGGCAGCTACTGACATCTAAGAGAGAGACCAGGGTGGCTGGCCTGGAGGTGGTGGGGTGATGGGGAGACAGCTGGGAGGTGCAGGAGCCACAGCAGGTGAGAGAGGGAGGGAGTGGCCCGAAGGCTGGTTCCTGCCTGCTGCAGTAGGCCTTTGATTTGGGGCCTGATGAGTCACCTGAGAGGCATCTCCTTCCATCCCCTCTGATTCTCCTTTTTTACATGAACTTGTTTTTAACCACTGAGCTGTGAAGTTACCTGAAGGTCAGTGGACTTTCTGGCGTTTCTCCAAATGCAGTCCTAGGAGCTTTAAAAACGCCATTCAAGCCAGCACCCGTGGCTTACACCTGTAACCCTAGCTACTTGGGAGGCTGAGATCTGGAGGATCAAGGTTCGAGGCCAGCCAGGGCAAATAGTTTACAAGATGCCATCTTCAAAATAACCAGAGCAAAATGGACTGCACTTGCTAGGCAGGCACTGTACCACTTACGTCACGCCCCTCCCCCCTCCCAGCCCTTTTGCTTTTAGTTTGCTTTTCAGATAGGGTCTGAAGTTTTTTCCCTGGCCAGCCTTGGATCTCAATCCTCCCATCTCCACCTTCTGAGTAGCTGGGATTACAGGCAGGAAGCACTGGTCCTTGCTGATTCCTGGGGGCATTCATTCCACTCAGCAAACACCAATGGTCATGTCCTGCCTATAATGTCCTTCCAGGGCCAGGCCAGGGCAGGACAGCTCTGCTAGGGCTGGGTGGTGGTGGTGGGAAGGGAGTGGAAGGGCAGAAATTTAGTCCTCTCCCAATCTCCTCTGTCGGGAGGGCCTTGGGCTCCACACACTGGAATTTCAAAAGTGGCTACCCAAAGGGGCTGGCTCCATGGCCAGATGTCTCCCAGGCCACCAGGGCATTTGGGCAAAGCTGCTTCTGTCTACACTTGGAGGGAGGTCTTGTGGCTGGTTGGGGGTGCAGGCAGGATGGGGTAGAGGCCATAGAGAAGAGGGTTCATGTTGAAAATCAAGATTGAAGTGTGAGCCTGGAGGGAGCCCCACCCGGCCAAATCCTACACTGCACACTGTGGCTGCCTGACCCTAAAGTACGGGTGAGTTTCCCTGTGCCCTGTGAGGTGGGTCACCACAAAGCACCAGTCGGACAGCAATCAAGAAGATGACTGCCCTTGCCCCAGAGCCAGCTGGGAGAGTGGACACAATTTCAGCCTCGGAGGAGGAGTCAGACCTTTATTCACTTCCAAAGAGGGTGGTCACCCAGGGTCGGGAGGGGACACAGGGTGGGATGGCTGGACAGTGTGTGTGTGCAAGTCACTTTCTGTAGCTCAGTGTTTCCACTGAGGAAATTATTGCGACTGTGCACGTAGGAGGCCCTCAGGCTCAAGGCTCTGATGGTTTGCTAGGGTTGAGGTCTGGACTTCTCCAACCTCCTCAGACCCCAAGGAGCGCTCAGTGCTGGGGCTGCAGACAGGAGTGCGCATGCGCCCAGGCTGTGCAGCAGCCTGGCTGAGGTGCGCTGGCGCCCCCGTGTGGCCATGACGGGAATCACCAGCCTTGCAAATGGACCTTTCTGGTAATAAGGTCTTGACCCCAGAGACCACTGAGGTGACTGAGAGGGTGTAACAGCTCCCCAAAAAGTCACACCAGGACACGTAGTCATCTGAGATCCAGAGCAGGGGAATTCCCCCCCACCAAGGTCCGAACCAGCTCTGCCTAAGGCCCCATGTCTGACACTGCCTGTACATACATCAGGTGCTCAGTAAATGATGAGTGAGCGGTGAATGAGTGCATGAGGCGTCTGTGTGTGCAAAGCGGTGGTTGGAATGTGTAGCTGGATAGTCACAATGTCCACCTTCAGGTTGGTGAGCCCCATCCTCAGTCAGAATCAGCAATAAGACGGGAGATGGCTCTGGTCCTGCTATGCCCACGGTGTGCCCATCCCGAGCCCTGCCTGGGGCAGGACAGTGATCAGGATGGAGGTGGGAGCTGAATACCCAGCCTGACCAGCCCGCTCCCAATGCACTGCTGCCTAGACAGGGATTCAGTGACAACCAGAGGCCAGATAGGATGTTCCTGGAGAGGCAAGGAGCCCCTGGAGCCTGTGGGCTCAGGGCCTGCCCATCCCCAGGACCAGGCTAGGCGCAGAGGCTGGGGAGGGGGTCCAAACCAGGCTCACAGCCCACAGGCAGCGTGGCAGCCTCGCTGGGTGGGATGTGGTGGGTCATGTAGCGTTTCTCCATAAAAGAGCCAATCCGCAGCTGTTCAGGGACCTCCTCGGGCCACCACAGGCTGGAGCTGGACAGAAGAGGAGATGAGGGTGCTCTGTGTCTCATCCTGCATCCTCCTCCCCTTACCTTCCCTCCTTCCCTTTTGTTTGGGGCTCCTCCTCCAGGTGGCTGCCCCAAATGCCTTCCCCAAGGGCCCATCACTAAAATATCCAAGGGCTCATGGACAGAAGCCAAGGCGCAGGAGAATGACACAAGCAGAGGACACAGTGAAGCCAGAGTGCCACAGCCCCCCTCCCAAAACCTGTTCTCCGGAGAGCTGCTAGATCACCCTCCTGTTTCCCCGTGAAGATGTGCAGGTGAATACTGTCTGACACCTTTCCTGGAAGAGGCACAGTTCAGCTTAGAACTGCCTCCTTCACAGGAGGTTTCCAGGCACCCAAACAGGAAAGAGGTTCTAGGAAGGACAGGGGCCACAGGTGTTGCCACTCACAAGCGTACAGTGGAGGCTACCAGGAAGGCCAGGAGCAGGAGGCCGGCCAGGGAAGCAAGGATGGTGGAGATGACAATCATACAGCTGCTCCGCTGCCCAGGCCATGTGTCTATGGAGTCCTGGGGCCTTCCCTGCACACACAGGGCTGGTTGTTACTTCCCTCTCCCCCCAGCTACGCCTGTACCACAAGGCCAGGCTGCCTTGTGGCCCCAGATGGCCTCTGGAGCCCATCCATCTGTCCAGCTCAGCCAGCCCTAGGTCTCACGAACTTAGACCACTGTTTGCTGCAGCCTCTGCCCTGGCTCACCTACAAGGCCCATGTCCCACTTCTGTCTGTCCATACATTATATCTGGCAAGAGTGGCTGCAGGGCCCATCACCAGTGGCTCATACCTGTAATCCCAGCTACTCCAGAGGCAGAGCTCAGGAGGATCACAGTTCAAAGCCAGCCCAGGCAAATAGTTCACGAGACCCTATCTCAAAAAAACCCATCACAAAAAAGGGCTCAAGTGGAAAGAATGCCTGTCTAGCAACTGTGAGGCCCTGAGTTCAAACCCCCCGTGCCACCAAGAAAAAAAAATTGGCTGCAGATCAAGACTGCCTTCAGACAAGATCTCCAATCAATGGTCTTGGGAGTCTGTCTCTAGCCATCTGCCACCAGGACACTGGCCTTCCCATGTGCATTTTCTTCAGGCCTCTTTATTTATTGGCAGCAGTGGGATTTGAACTCAGGGCCTTGTGCTTGCTAGGCAGGCACTCTACCACTTGAACCTCTCCACCAGCCCTTATTGCTTTAGTTATTTTTCAGACAGGGTCTTGATGTTGCCTGGGGATGGCTGGCCTTGGACCATGAGCCACCTATCTCTGCTCATGCTTACCTCTTACGAGGTAAGCCACTATGCTCAGCCCTTTATTTATTTGTTTTTTCAGACAGGGTCTGTCTGTGTAGCCCAGGTTGGCCTGGAACTCTCAATCCTCTGGCCTCAGTCTCCTAAATGCTGGGATTACAGGCATGCACTACTATGCCAGGCCTGGCTTGGTGGATGATGCTTAACCCTTGAGGCCCTGCTTGGAGAAGCCTCCTAGAACCCACTGACTGCCCAGCCCCTGGCCCAAACAACCCCACGCTGACTCTAGTCTCCTTCAGGCCCAGGCCCCTCTACCCGAGTTCAGCATTTGGCCTGCGGCTGGTTTCTGTAGGGTGGGATGCTGTTTCTGCCCATGACAGGGCTGGGGCCTAGGCACCAAAGGGTTGGGGATGTACACAGCTGGTGTCCCTGTGCTGGAGCTGACCCAGGCCCCACACCATAGCACAAGGTTCAGCTGGGGGTTGTGCCAGACTTGGACATTGCCTCTAGGCCCCCAGCCCGATGGGAGCAGTCCCATGGGAGGGGCCAGCTAAACAGAAGGTGACCAGGTGGGCAGCCAGAAGCCAGAGTGCCCACCCCAGCACTACCTTGGCACAGAGCGATGTGATCCGACCATTTGGTCTCAGCTTTGGGTAAGCCACTGGTGTCCATCAGGAGGAATTTCACACTGGTATCAGGAGGCAATGGGGGAGCAGGGGTGAGGGTCAGAAGTCTCAACTCTCCAGGTGGGGACCTCCCCATATTTAAGGAGGGCGGCATCCATCAGGACCAGTGGAGGTCTGGCTCAGAACCCTCTGAGGCCTCTAGGGCCATGCAACCTGCACCAGAGCCCCAGTCTATCTGGGCAGTCGCTCCACAGACAGTTCTCTCGGTCACGGGTTCCCTCCCCCTTACTAAATGTCATATACAGTGGGCTGGGCATGGTGGTACACATCCACAATCCCTGCCAATTGGGAGGTAGAGATGGGAAGATCACAGTCTGAGGCACCTAAGCAAAAAACAACTAAAAGCAAAAGAACTGGGGGTGTGGCTGAAGTGGTGTCACCTGTCTTGCAAGTGCAAAGCCCTAAATTCAATCCCCAGTACCATGGAAGGGAGGGAGGTTATATACAAAAACAGCAGGTGAAAGTGGCTCGACAGGAGCACAGGACTGGGGATCCCAGGTCTCCAGAGGTCTGAGAGACCACCCAATAAGGAGAAAGAAGGCCCCAAACAGTGAAGTCTGGTAAAGGCATGGAGGATGGAGGGATGGGTGTGGTCAGGGCCAGCTCAGAGCCCAGAGGCACCAAGAACAAAGTAGCAGAGGAGGCGTTCAGAGTCATGGTTTGGGTTTTTATTTTTGTTTTGCTTTGACAGTATGGTATTTGAACTCAGGACCTTATGTTTGCTAGGCAGTCCCTCTTTAGCCACTCCTACCAGTCCTTTTTGCTTCAATTATTTTTCAGATAGGGTCTTGCATTTATGCAGGGCAGGCCTGGACAGGGATCTTCTATTTATGCCTACTTTAGACTACATAGTAGCTTCGATGACAGGTGTGTACTACCTCACCCAGCTTTTATTAGTTGAGATGGGGTGTCGCTAACTTTTTTGCCCAGTCTGGCCTCAAACCAGGATTCTCCCAATCTCCACCTCTCCAGTAGCTAGGATTACAAGTGTGAGCCAATGCACCCAGCTAATGCATGATATTTTTTCAGGATGGGAGTTTTGGAAAGTCTGAGCAACAGGGACCCAGAAGGCTGCAGGGAAGGAAGCCAGTGCTGGTGGCTGCTGGGGAAGGGGACAGGGATGAGGCTGGAGGCCCAGCAGGGTGTGGCTGGGAGTGGGGGAGGTGGACCCGCCAGGGTGGGGTGAGAGGGCAGACAGGCTGGGTGACTCAAGGGGCCACTTCTGCCTTCCTCTACACCATGCGGTCTCTGCTCCCCCTGTGCAGGGGCCTCTGTGAGGACACCTGGGCTTTTCTAGCTGGGCAGTCCCAATCTGGACAAGATCTCTCATTTCCCTGGCTTCCAGCCAGGACAGGGCGGGGTCTGAACTTTGGCCTCAGAAACCCCTTCTCCCTTCCCAGCAACCCAATCCCAAAGCACAGCGGGTGGGGACAACTCACCTATAAGGGCCCGGGGTTGGGGAGAGGGGCGTTGCAATAGGACTGCTGGTGGCACCCAAAGTCACTGCCCACCCGAAGCACAGGGATGACTCCACTGCCCCCACCAGGTCCTCACAGGACAGCTGGTGGGGGGACAAGGGCAGTGCCATGTGGTAGCCATTGGTTAGCAGGTGTGGGAAGGCCAGGATCTCCGCCAGATTCTGTGGGTTCTGGAAGCCAGATGGGGCAAGAGGGGAGAGACAGGCCTTGTCCTGCTAACCAGAAGGCCTGTCTTCATCTGCCCTGGGCCCACCTGGTGGCCATAGCCTCCAGTCCTAACCCCCCACACCAGCCCTTCTCTCAGAATTACAGGGACAAGCTGGGCACCAGTGGCTCACACCTATAATCCCAGCTACTCAGGAGGAACCCAGGCCCTCAGCATGCTAGACTAGTGCTCTGTTTCGAAGCCAGTCTGTGCAAATAGTTTGTGAGACCCTATGTCGAAAAAAAACCTTTCACAAAAAAGGGCCGGTGGAGGAGCTCAAGGTGTGGGCCCTGAGCTCAAATCCCAGTACTGCAAAAAAAAAAAAAAAAAAAAAAGTACAGGGACAAAGCTACCTTCTAAGAGTCCCTCTCTGTCCACACCCACCATTCCAAGGGATCCTGCAGCACTCAGCCACTGAAAGTGCTGGTGGAGGGCTCCCAGAACCCCACAGCTCCCTTCGCTACACCCCTCACCCCGGACCCCAGACCACGCACCATTGCTAAAGGCCACCACCAGCCAGATGGTGTCAGAGGTGCTGGCATGTCCATCAAAGACACAGCGAGGCTGCTCCAGAGAGAACGTAGTGGCTGTGACCTTCCCCTCCAGGTCCGGGGCTGTTATCTGCGGTGTATAGGGGACCACCTCTGTGGCCGTGGGGAACAGAGGTAAACAGTAGAGATCAGTGTCCTGGATGCCTCTGTGACTGCTGCTCCCAATTCAAGGGACAGGCTCCCAGGGTCCAGTCACTCCAACAGGTGCCCCAATACCTTGAGTCTGGTAATGGCACCCACTGGGGACCCCTACTTACCCAGGCTCAGGCCAGGCTGAAGCCAGCTAAGCACCACGAGGAGCAGACAAGGGCGAGGCTGCCTCCAGGGGGGCTCCATGACAGCCAGTGAGCACCCACAGCACCCCAAGGCTCCAGGGCTAGTCTGGCCACCTCCTGCCACACCCCACCCCCAGCACCTAGAGCCTGGAGGATCTGGTTAGTCAGGTTGCCAGAAAGGACAGGAAAGACCTGAAAGTGTGAACGCACCCCACCCCTTCCCAGCAGGTCCAGCCCATCACAGGGAGGGGGCTGGGTGGGCACTGGCCTGGGCTGGGTAAGAGGGGTCACTAGGCCCCCGGATGACTGCTAGCAGTCCCACCCCAGAAACTGGGACCCCACCCAAGCTCCCAGCTCTGGGAAGGAGGGCTGAATGCCTGAGATTCCTATACCTCTGGGTGCCAGGAGCATCCCTCAGGCCGTCCACACCCACCCAGGAAGTGAGGAGTGGGCTGCAGAGGGCAGGACGGAGCCCTGGACCCACTGCCTACCCCCTAACTCCCAAGGAGACTGAATCCTCCCCAGTTTCAGCCTCAGCTCCTTTGCCCAAGAGAACTTGGACTCAGAGAAGTAACAGCACCGCCCTTGATGGCCAACAAGCCCTTCACTTAATCCCTTTGGATCTCATTCTGTGTATATTTTCAGATGTAACTCATACTATAAATTTCACAGCTCAGGGTTATGTTTTTGCAGTGCTGAGGATCAAGCCCAGGCCCTCAGCATGCTAGACTAGCTCTCTGCCGGCCCTCAGTCCCAGCCTAGTGGGGTTTTTTTTTTGTGCGGGACTAGGGTTTCAACTCAGAGCCTACCACTTGAGCCATCCCACCAGCCCTGTTTGATGTTTTTTTTCGAAATAGGGTCTCATGAACCATTTGCCCACGATGGTTTTGAACTGAGATCCTCCTGATCTCCGTCTCCAGAGTAGCTAGGATTATAGGCGTGAGGCACCAGAGCCCGGCTAGTGGTTTTCAATGTACTCAGGTTGTGCAGCCATAACCACTAATTCTAGAAACTTCACACCCCAAAAGGAAACTACATTTCTGTTCCCAGCTCCTGCCAGGTGGGGAAAATCTCCCACATTTCATAGCAATAGTATCACACAGTATGTGGCTTTCTGTGCCTGGTTGGTTTTTTTTTTTTTTTTTCCTTTCCTGGCCTGAACTTGCCAGGAAGTTCTCTCTGCATGTTTGCAGGGTCCATGGTGTAGCCTGGACTGGTGCTTTGCTGCCTTTTAGGGCTAACATTCCGACACATGTGGATGCCGAACTTTTGTTTTCACCAGCTTATAGGTATCTGAGTGTTTTGTCCACGTTGTGTGGACAAATTCTTGCAAAATCACCCTAGGAGTGGAGTTGCTCAGTCACATGGTAACCCCATTTTTGAGGAGCTGCCTGTTCCCCCTAAGGTGGTTGTCCTCTACGTTCCCACCAGCTCTGGGTGAGGTTCAATCCTCTACCTCTTCTCCAAAGCTGTTAACTTTGGTTTGCCTTTCATAATGACAGCATTTTTTAATACTTCTTGGCCATTTGTCTACTTAGAGAGATGCCTGTCTCATCTGTCCCTTTTTTGTGGGGTTGGGGATGGAACCAGGCCTCAGGCATGCTAGGCAAGCACTCTACCAGTCCCCTGTACTTTTTTTCTTGGAAGGACTGGAGTCTGAACTCAGGACTTTATGCTTGCAAAGCAGGCGCTCTACCATTTGAGTCACACTTCCAGTCCATTTTGCTCTGATTATTTTGGAGATGGGGTCACGAGAATTATTTGCTGAGGCTGACCTCAAACCCTGATCCTCCTGATCTCAGTCTCCCAAGTAGCCAGGTTAACAGGTGTGAGCCACCAATGCCTTATGTTGGGTTTTTTGTTGAGTTCTAAGAGCTCTTTTAGTTAGCATTCTAGATACCAGAGCTTTATCAGATGTGTGAACCGAAACTCTTCTACCCTGATTCTTTCTTTTTTGGTGGTACTGGGGTTTTTTAACTCAGGGCCTCATACTTGCTAGGCAGGAGCTCTACCATTTAAGCCACTCTGCCAGTCCTTTTTTATGTTGGGATTTTTGAGATAGGGTCCCAAGAACTATTTTGCCTAGGCTGGCCTCAAACCTCCCAATCTCACCCTCCTGAGTAGCTAGGATTACAGGCATGAGCCACTGGCACCCAGCTTCTTTTAAAATCAGAAGAAAACAGCTGGAGGAGTGGCTCAAAGTGTAGGACCTGAGTTCAAACCCCAGTACCACAAAAAAAAAAAAAAAAAAAGTTAGGGCCTTGAGGATGGCCTCAGATGTCCCTGGCTTGGGTTCCAACCTGGCTCTACCATCTGACTGGCCTGGGTCCTGGTGGGGGTCATTGTCCCGCTGAGCTTCTGTTTCATCTGTAAAATACAGACAGCAGCCCTAGACCACCCAGTGTGAAGAGCACCTGGTGAGCCAGACCCTGAAGGTCAGGGGACTGCACTGGGCAAGAATGCATGCTTGCAGGCCTCAGAGAAGCCTCACACCAGCTGGGTGCCACAGGATCTGCACTTACTAGTCTTCGTCTTTACTCACTAGCTGAAGTTGGATGGGCAGTGTGTAGGCTGCTGACCTCCTCGTGGGGGTTAGATCTCACTCACATACCTGCTCTCTACCGACAAACACCAGGGTCTGCAGACTTTGGCTGTAGGGTCTTTATTGCAAACAAAATCTGAGGTATGAGAAGCTGACCCAGAAACTGGAGGAGGGGCCATTCCCACTCACCCACCAGGCCCGGGTGCTGCCTGAGCAGCCCCTCCAGAAGGGCCCATCCATGCACTGAGGTAGCTGCATCTTAAGCCCCCACAAGTACAACTGCCCAGGGCTGCCTGGATCCCCCAGATCTTCCTACCCAGAGAGGAAGAAGTCAAGGCAGGCAGAAACCTGGCTTCATGAGGGTGCGCTCTATGCCCCAACATTCTAGCCTCTCAGGAAGGCACCTTCCCACTGTCCACCCAGAGGCAGCCTAGGTGGCCACAGGGGCCAGGGTGGTCACTAGAGGCAGGCCTGGTGGATTACAGCTGCTCTAGACAGTCCTCAGTCACCCCCTGGGCAGCGAGCTCGGCCAGCACGTTCTGCAGGTAGTTGGGGTCGGGGTAGCCATGGCCTGTCACATTACGGTCCATCTCTGTCTTGTGGTGGATCTCATTCCACACCACTGTGTCAGTCTCGCCTGTGGTGCTGGATGTCCCCACTGTGAAGATCAGTCGCCTCTTCCAGGCCACCTTCAGAAGCTCCAGAACCTGGCCCAGGGGGAGAAGAGTGGTGCACAGCTTGACTACCCACGTCCTCTGAGGTGGGCTTAACCAGTCCTAGCACTGAACCCCTGAGTGGGCCCCACAACGCCACAGATCTCACCAGTCTCAACCCAGCAAGCCATCCCTACTTCAGCACCACAATCTCTGTGGTCACCAGCCAGAAAGTAGGCAACGCCCTCCAAACGGTCTTCCTTCCAAAGTTCACTCCCTCTGCACTACAATCCAGGCCTTCTGTCCTCTACCCTCCCCAGCCTCACTGCCCTCCAGCCTCCTGTCCTCCATCCTCCTCAGCCTCACTGCCCTCCCAACCTCTAAGCTTGGCTACTTGAGTTTGGGCTGGGGCGGGGGTATGGCTCAGTGATAAGAGTGTTTGCTTAGTATGCACGTGAGGCACTGGGTTCCATCCCCAGCACTTTTTCTAATGGGAACATTGGCAGCTCCCCTGCCCACAGCTTCAGAGGGCTTAGAGTACCCGTCTCCCAGGGCTCAGCAGGCCCAGTATTCCAACTCCTTCACCCATGCATTTTGGACCCCCACCCTTCCTGGCCCATCTGGAAACACCCACACCAACTGCTCTGCAAAGCTGCGCTCAGGTCCCAGGCTGCAGGACTGGGCAGCCTGTCCTAAGGCAGGCGCCTTGCCAGCCCGATCCTGAAGAGCATCAGGCCAGCTTTACTTCCTTACTGGAGCCCCCGTGGAGGCCAGGGTGTCCCTCCCAGGGCTCACAGCAGCTCCTTGGGAAGCAGCAGTAAACACAGTGGCCCTGTTGCCCAGGCATGGCCTCCACAGGAGGCCTAACCTCCTGGAGGGAGGTGAGCAGCGGGGCTTTACCTTGCGGCCCTGAGCGTTGTCTGGCAGGTAGCACTGGCGGGGAAAGCCTCTGGCTGTGAATGGCTTCCCAGGGTTGGGGTGCTCAGGGCCCTGTAAGAGGAGGAGACACCAGCCTGGGAGGGCTGCATGAGGCCTCTGGCCAGCTGCAGAGGTTCAGGGGACCTGGAAGACCAGGCTTCCTGGACGGATCCATTCTTATGAAGTGACCAGATAAATCCAGCCCCTCAAAGACTCAAAGTGAACGTCCCCTCTTACCCCACCGTCCCCTGAAACTGCTCAATCTGCTGGCCTGAGACCCCTTCCCACCAGCTTTCTCTTTTGCCAATGCCCCTGGGAACCTGGTGGAGCAAGGTTCTCTGTGCTTCTCTGTGACCCTGTTAGGCTACATTTTGCTCTAAGAACTAAGAGCAGGGGCCTTGAGTCCAGCAGCAAACTGGAGGAGAATGAGAAGGGTGGAACAGTGCCAGGCCTTGGGATCTGCCCTCTGCTATACAGAGCCATGTCCAAGTACAACTGACAGTTCCCTCCACTCTGAGGCGCTAACTTTATCTGGAATGCTTTCAAATCTGAGTCATAGAGAAGTGGGAGGAGACCAGAAGAAAAGCACAGGACTCAATAAAACAAGCAGCAGTCAGGATCTCTGAGATCAATCTTGGCTCAAGACAGGTCAAGACCCAAAGGGCCTAGACTCCTGACATCCAGTCTTAGTCCTGCCACTTCCAGCCCAGCCTGGTCACAGAGCTGGTATCTCAAGAACAAGGCTCCTGCCCTGCTCCCCAGCCCCTCCCCACCCTGTACTCTGCCACCTGGAGGGCTCCTTAATGCCTACCTGCTCACGAGCTCCCCAGTTCTCCAGTATTCTTTCTGTTTATTTGCCGGGCCTTCTGCCCAGGACAAGTCCAGCTAAACTGCTTCTTCCTCTGGGAAGCCTTCCCAAGCTCAGGAAGGGTTAGGACTACCTCCTTCCATACCTGGACCCACCTTCCAGTTCCTCTGCCTCGCTGGGGGCAGGTTGCTGGGGGAGGGGTGGGGCTGACTCGCACAGGTCCCGTAAGGCTCCTCTTGTGGACCTCACCTGGATGCCATGAGGGATGTTGTAAACAATGAGTATTGTTCCGCAGTCCGCATGGCCAGGGAGGGACACCTGGAACCTAAACACCTCCATCTTCCCCCGGGGCTGCGTTCCAGTCTTCTCTCCATAGATGGTTTTGCAGGAGGGACACTGCAAACTCCCATCCTAAGACAAGGCAGATGCAACAGACTGAGCAGGTGGCCCCAAAGCACCTGGCCAGTCACCCCACGTCCAGATGGGAGAAGAGGCTACCGGGGAATGGGCTGGCACGGCTCACCCGGTGCCCAGGCAGCCTCCCCTCACAGAAACTGATGGCTAAGGCTTATCATTGAAAAGTAAGTTGTGGGCTGGTGGAGTGTCAGTGGTAGAATGCCTGCCTAGCAAGCATGAGGCCCTGAGTTCAAACCCCAGTACTGCCTTAAAAAAAAAAAAAAAAAAAAAAAAAAAAAATGTGCACCTAAGCTCATCACAGAGTTCTCACGAATGGGGTGAGGTGCCAGGAGACCAGCTCCGTAAGCAAGTCTCCACCTTGTCGCCCTGCAAACCACAAACCCCCACTGGACTGCCACTGCCTCACACCACTGCCACAGCATAGGCAGGGAGACTGTGGAGAGGGCTGGGCCAGGCCTTCAGGGCTGTCAGGTGATTTGATTCTATCTGCCCTCCCAACTCTGTCACCCTGGCTAAACACCGCACGGAGCATCAGCCAGGGGCCTGCGTGGGACTTGTCCTGCATAGAGTGCCACAGGACTGAGTCAGGGCCTGGTTCAGCTCCTCCCAGCAGGTGACCCTGGACACAGTCCCCTCTCTGAGCCTTTGTATCTGACTGCAGAGAGCATCGTAAGGAAGATATGAAGGATTTGTAAGTGGCAGCGGTGAGACACAAGCCTGCAGCCCAGGGGAGCCCAGGATCTCTCCCTAAGCCTGGCTGGAGGACCTGGGGGATGCAGTTCCAACGGTCCCCTGTCTAAAGCACAGAGCAGACCTATGGCAGCAGCCTTCAGAAAGTACCCCAAGCCAGCTACATGTAGGCTCTTGGCTGTTTTGCCAGGAGTAATCCCAACCTGCCAACCCAGAGCCCAGCAGTTGACCCCCCAGTCAAAGGCAGCAGGCCACCTCACTCCTTCCCGGGCCCTCAGGCACCTTGTTCCCATTGCAGTACATGGCCAGCAGGCACAGAAGGTGGAAGGCATGGCTGCACTTGGTGAGGCGGCCTACAGTCACGGGACTGAGGGTCTTGCTGTCAGTGACGTCACTGTAGCCAGACACCACGGACAGTTTCTCCATACAGATGATACAGTCCTGGAGAGAAAGCAAACACAGGGCCTATTTGCAAACGGCTGGGCCTCAGTGTGCCAATCTGCTTCCTCTCCCAAAATGCAGGAATGATGGTCAAAGCCAGCCAGTGGCCATTTGTTCCAAAAGCTGGGAACACACGAGATGTCCCTATGACCTGTGCCCATAAAGGGCTGATCACAACCACGGGCCATTGAGGCAGAGGGACCAGCAGGATGGGGAGGTCCGAAAGGGAGAAGACCTGGAAGCTGGCTTTCACAGATGACACAGGAACTGTCACATGGACAAGCAAGGCAGAGGAAAAGAATGTGCTGAAACAGGCAACAGTGCAGGGGCTGCTCCAGGGGGCCCTGCGAGAACACGGGTAATAGATAAGACCAGAGTAGGGTCACATCCTGACTGCCACACTCAGGAGCTGGGGTTGTACCTTGTGTCAGAGCCCTGTTGAAGCGTTTTAAGCAGCTAGCTGAGCCAGGCCTGGTGACACACACCTATAATCCCAGTACTTGAGAGGCTGAGGCAGGAGACCAAAAGGCTCATGCCAGCCTGGGCTATACAGTAAGACCTTGTCTCAAAAACAGGAAAGAAAAAGCAGCTAGTTGTGCAATGGCATGTGCAGCAGCCTGCAGAGGAGTCTGGGGCTGAGCACAGGGCGAAGAACAAGAGCTGGGTGTGGGGTGGAGGAGACGTGGGGCAGAAGAGCAGGATGATTCCAGGCTTTTGTGCAGACCTCCACTACCCTGATTTTCCCACATACTCAGTTCACAGGAGGGGTCCTGCCTCACCCCACTCCTGCACTCTAAGGCTCTGTGGGCTGGAGCCCACAGATGTGGCTCAACAGAGCCAGGCTCGACTTCCACTAAACCACGCCAGGGGCTCAGTAGGCCCCGTTAGTTATAGGAATCCTGGCCAGTGCTCCCAACAGCCAAAGGGGCAAGAGTGCCCCCTGGACGAGGTCACCTTACTCTCGCAGGGCCAGTCTGAGGGGAGCTAGGCGGATGTGCCCAGCCCCTAGGCTTGAGAGGAAGCACTCTGCTTAGGACCACGGCTCAGCAATGAGATAGGAATGACACAGGTCTCAGGAGCCAAATCCACAGAACCGGGAGCATGGCACTGCCCAGAGACACCTGGGGGGCAGCCTGCAGGCCAAGAGGGGACTGGGATCCCCTTCAGCTGGAATTTGCCCTTGCTTCCAAGCAGGAGCAGCACTGACACTGCTCCTGGGACACTTACCTCATCTGGGGGTGCTTTCAACTCCTCAGTGTAACATCTGATCACCTGCTCTGGCTCGGGCTTTGGAGCCCCCCCTGGAAGAGACAAGAACGTAAGCAGTGTCCCAGGTTTGCAAGGTGGGGGAAGATGATGCCAACGAGGAAGCAGACAGGTAAAGGTCCAAGCTGCCAGGAGGAAATGTTAGCAGGCTAAGAGGGGAAGGTTAGCACGCAAAACAGGACAGCCTTGGTGCAGGTACAGGACACTTGGCAGTCCTCCAGGTCACCTGCTTGGGGCTGGGTCCAGCCCAGGAGGCTCTGAAGGGCAGACACAGAGCAGCATGTCTGCCCCTTCCTGAGCTGAGCCCCAGGAAACCAGACTCGGCCCTTGTGATGTCTAACGGCAGCTTTGAGAACAAACCACCATGGAGAACGTGCTGGCGGTGCTGTGTTGTCAACATTTGTTGACAACATTTGTTGACAACTCTTGTGTGAAAATCTCAGTGAAAGAAGGAAGCTTTGAGTCCGTGTGTACTGGGAGCCTGGCCCATGTGTGCACGATGACTGACAGTCACAACACACCATCTTAGAACTTGGTTAGGCAGAGGCAGGATGCTCCTCAGTCACTCACCTACCCAGCTCTGAAGCCAGGCAACCCTGGAAAGTGACTGCGACACACAAGGAAGTGCACTGGCTGCCTGGCACTTCATCTACACACACGTGTGATGCTGCGAGAGGCCTGCACCTCCAGACATCAACCCTGCACCAAGGACAAGAACCTGCCAGAGCGAGCTTGTTGGCCCTGCTGGGTTCTCCAGGCAGCAGCGTCAGCAGAATGGCAGAGTCACAGCTCAGCCTGAGCAGGAGGCAAAGGAGGGACCAGTGAGACAGCACAGCCCTGAAGCAGCCTTGGCAGAGGCTTTGTCACCCCACCTCCAGGTCACCATGGGCACCTGGTTTGAACTCAGACTCATGCTCTGGCCTGTGGCTGCAAAGACTCAGGCTCAGCTCGGCAACTAACTCCCAGAGACCAGAGAAGGACGGTGACAGGCACATGACAATAGGTGACTCAGTGGAGCAGAGAGGCTGGGATCAGGGAACACAGGGCTTGATTCTGGCTCTTGTGCTGTAACCAAGTCCTACCACCTCAGTCTCAGTTCCCTCAGCTAAAAAAGTGGAAGCACAACACCCAACAAGCTGTCACTGGAGTACAGCACCAGCTGCTAGCACCTGGGAATGGCAGGGACGAGCAGGACACCTCATCCCCCCGCAAACCTCCAAACTCCCATATACAACATATACATGTGGTCCATACACTCCCCATCCCATATACACCTCTACACCCCCACACCCATCTCATATACACCTCCGTACACCCCATATACACCTCACACATGTGGTCCACACACGTGTTCCACACACACCTCCACATTATGGGCTCCAAATACCCCATACATACATAACTCCATATACATACCTCACACACACACACCACATATGGCCTCACACCCCCCACACGCACCCACATGCACCCTGTATATACCCCACAAAAACACATACCAAACACCCCACATGCACCCGGCACATATGCCACACCCCATACATACAAGGGCCTCATGCACTCCAAGGCCAGAGGGGCTTCTGAGGGCCTGTGTTCTTCCCCAAAGAAGCTGGGTGCCTTGGAGGCTGTAGGCAGGCTGGCTCTGCCCACAGATCTGTCTCCACCGAGGCAGAGAAGACGGCCGTGTGCAGAACTCAGGACTGGAGGCCAAGGAGCCCCAAGGGTAGTCCCTCCCTGGGCCACCTCCTCACCTAAAGGTTGTGATTAGAGCAGCCACTGCTGCTGTGTGCCAGGCACTTGACATGACCTTCCTAGTCCTCACCAAGTCACCTATGCAGGAAATGCTGGCTTAGGATGGAGGAATTTGTGAGAGGTCACAAAGTCAGTGAGGACAGAAGCAGAGGGTGAAACCCAGGCCAGTAGAGCCACACCCAAGCCCTGGGACAGCTCCTCAAAGGTCACATGGCTCTCAGCAGCCTGGGCTTCCACGTGGGGCCCAGCCTTGGAATGGCTTAGAAATCAGCACCACAAGCGCCTCCACCAAGTCCCGCTACAACTTCCAGCACCTTCCGCGGCTCTGGATACATCCTCCAACTAGAACGCAGCCTCCCACAGCACCCGTTGAACTAACGTCTCCCAAGCGCCATCTCTGCAGGACGGCTTCTCTGACCACCCGATGGGAAAGAGTAGCTACCTGGCCACAAGATGGCCTGGGCAGTGGGCACCAGGACTGGGCTGCTGTCTGGGGACCTTTTCTAAGACACATACCAGCCCCCTGGAAGGGACAGTCACCCTACAATCCCAAGCCAGGACTGTCCACACCTCAGTCAGTGTCCCAGAAGCCCAAACACACTGCCCACAGGAGGGCAGGAAGAGGGTGCGGGAAGCTGAGGAAGGCTGTACAGAGGGAAAAGAAGAGCCACGGTGCAAGAGAGTCAGAGGCAGCAAGACAAATCAGAGGCCAGAGGGCATTTGTGAATAGGAACTACCTTTCACGGACATTTTCCTCAGTCTCTTAACTGAGCTGTGACTTTTAGAGGCCAGACGGGAGGCGGGAGGGCTGGTGGGCTGGGGTGCGCGGCTAAGACACACAGGGAATCCAATGGCAGACATCAGCACACTCGTCATGCCTGCACGGGTGCGAGATCAGACATGCAGAGGGAGAAACGTTAGAAGGAGGCATTCTGCATGTGCCATCCACAACCCTGCAGAGTCCAAGCTGGTGGCCTGCTATCGGCATGAGGGCTGCAAATCTCCAAATCTCCCAGGGGAATCTGACCACGACAGGCCACCAGGGCCCACTGAGTTCTAGCCAGGAACCAGAGGGTGAGTGAAATGGCCTGGTCCCAGGTCCCCCAGATGTCTGCACAAACAACTGCCACAGCCTTCTCCCAAAGTGTGTAGGGAGCGGGGCCATTTGCTCGAGAAGAGCTTAGGGCCCTCTGCCGCCCCAGGGAACATACTGGGCAGTGCTGGGTGGCATCTCCCTATATGGGCACAGACAGGAAGCATATGCAACAATTGGCAGGGTGCAACCAAGCTATGGCAACAGGGCAGGTCTTCTGGGCAGGGTTGGCACTGAGGGCTCAGTCTTCCCCTGGAGCCTCCAAGCCTGGCAGTGCCCTCTCGGCTTGTGATAATCCTGCTTTCCATAGCCCATCTGGCCTATCTAAGTGACATGGCTTCTGTGACATCACTGAGGGAGGAACACAGCCCCAGCCACCACTTCCTTTGCTGATGTTACCACAGAGGGAGCTGTGGCAGCAGCAGTGCTGAGATGGGTGGGCCACCCTCATCAGAGTTCAGGGCTGCCCCATGCCTGGAGCCCATACTTGTCCTGGCTGGACATCCCCAGTATTGCCCCTGGCATCAGGCATTTCCTGATGCCCTGATACCTCCTGATGGAGGTCCCAATCCCTGTTCTACCTCATCTGCTCCACTTCCATGCCACCATCTCCCCAGTCCTCCCTGTCCTTAAGTCAGTCTGGCTCCAGAACGCCTCCCCTCAGGGAAAGGCACCCTGACTTCCTGGCCAGCTTGAGTGAGAGCAGCTTTCTCAGGCCTGAGCCAGGCTCAGGTGCTACGTGACCTGGACACCTGAGGCAAGGCCCTTCTGGGCCCCAGCCCTCTCCAGGACAGGTTGGGCCCGACAGTGCTGCGCCACCAGAAGCAATTCAAATGGTTGAGGGTCATCCAGGCTAACTACCGTGGCCTCCCTCAGAAGGACAAAGACTGTCCCCAAATGAGTCCAGCACCACACTGGGCAGCACAGCTGAGTCACATGGGGGCAGTGTGGTGGCCACTCAGCAGGAGGCACCAAAGTACACACCAGGAGACCCAGGCTGGACTGGGCTTGGCCCTGGCTCAGTCACCACAATGCCACCCACACCCCAAGACTGTTGCTGAGCTCCAATGCAGTTCCTTTGGGAAATAAAGGGCAGGTGGCAGGACAACATGCAGAACAAGTGGCAGAAAGACGGGAGGGACTGAGACAGGAGTTTTCCTTCAGAGCCTCAAGCCTTTGTGCCGATCCTCTGAAAGAACACAGCCCCCCACCAATGGTCTGCTCCACTCAGATCTGCCAGGTGTCACCTCTGCAGGCAGGCCACCCCTGACCACCCTGTGGAGAAGGGCCATGTCCCCTGACAACTCAGCATCTTCCCCACTTCACATTTTTTCTTAGCCCCCTGACTGTCTGTAATGAACTCAAACACGCATGAGTCCCATGGGTGAGGGACTGCCTGCCACTGCCATTGGGCCGGCACCCAGTACAGCTGTGTCTGCAGAAGGCACATAGTAGGTGTCTAAGAAATGAAGTCCCTAGGGCCACCTTCATCAGACCCCGAGAGGCCAGTGTCACAACACTCTGCCCAAACAGGTCCCTAGAATTCAAGTTTCAGACCCAAAACCCTCAAGGCAGACACCTGGAAAGAAACCCCGGTGTGTGATTCTGCCATCTAGCAAGAGGTCTAAAAGCTACCCACACCTGACGAAAGCAGCAAGTAATGGATACAGGACAGGACAGGACACACCAACAAGCCATCACGTCTTCCTCAGCAACAAGGCTCAGGGACAGCCACATCATCAACAACTTGAACAAGCATTACTTCCCGCACTCACCTAAGAGAATCCCCTCCCTCAGCCCCCATCTGCAGATTCTCACTCCCCAGCTACAAACACCTCTTTCTGACACCAAGGGCCTGTCCTTTATCTGGTGACCAGAGTTGAGACCTAAACCTGTCCTCTATCTACCCTGGCCTTACACCCAGTGTCACCCCAACTGACTGCCCAGTGTTTGGCAGGCAGCTGCTGCAGACACTACTTCCTCCTCCCACAGGAGGATGTAGGGAGCCTGGCGCCAGCCTCACAAGGCAGCCCCCATGCTCACGGAGAAAGGGCCAGGCAATGCACAGAAGATCCGCTGTCACCTGAAGGCACACGCAGAGGAGGACCCCAATTCCTGCCAAACATGACCACCTGCAAAGACCCAAGGGCCCACCCCTCCTACAACCAGGAGAGTTACACTCCTAAATCTGTAAATGTGGCCCAGGTAAAAGAGGACACTCAGTCTTGATTCTCAAGGGTTTGCTGGCCCGACATCCCCTGCTGGGACAAATGGTTCCACCAACAAATACCAGCCCCCGAGCCTTGAACTGAGGAGAGATAACAATCTGGCCACAGGTTCCAGACTCTTATGCCCCAGCTGGGACCCAGTTCCTAAACTTTTGGGATCTGTTTCCACATGAGTAAAATGAAAGTTAGAATACCTGCCTAGGCACTGAGGATGTGACTCAGTAGTACGGCACTTGCCCAGCATGTGTACAACCCCAGGTTTGATCCCTAGCACTGCAAAAAAATGTTCTAGCCAAGTATGGTGGTGCACATCTGTAATTCCAGCACTTGGGAAGCTGAGTTCGAGGCCAGCCTGGGTTATGATTAGTCTCTGTTCAAAAAAGTAAAACGGAACAGAGAACAAACTGAGATGCAGCCTGGGGAGGACCCTCAGCCTCAAGAGCAGAGGAGAAGGAAGCCTGTGCCACTCAATACCCAGGCACACCAAAGAGCTGCAAAGAGACATGGCCTAACACCTGTGTCAGAGCCTCAGTAGCCACAACATCAGAACCTGCCACTAAGGCTCACAAAAGTCCGAGAGCTAGGCAGTAAGGGGACCTGGCCTGTCTGCCCACAACCTTCCTCCACAACTCTACCGCTCGTGCACACACCCACACATTGTGCCTAGTTGGGCTCACCCATGGCACCAATGCCTGAGTGACCTACAGGGGGCAACAACTGTCTAGTGGCACATCTCTGTTCTCTTTTTAAAAAATTTTTTGGAAGTACTGGGGCTTGAACTCAGGGACTCTCTATCAGCTGAGGCATGCCTCCAGTCCCTCTGCTCTCTTTGCTGTTGGGTCCAGCAGAAGCTGACAGCTGAGTAGCTGAAGCTGGGTAAGGAAGGCCAACTGGACTATCTCTCCTCCTGGGCTTTCCCAGCCTCAAGCCCTCCCCATTCTCACCTCACCTCTCCAGTTGTTCTTCTGCAGCTGTTCTTCCCAGCATCTCCTTCAGTCTCTCTTGTGAGGGACAAAGAGCATCCACTTCCCCCTAACTGCTCACCTGAGCTGCACCCCACCCCACCACTGCCTCTGTAATGCTCCACCTGTCTACACCACAGCCACGGTGGTTCCTGCCCAACCCTCTCTCCAGACTCAGGACACCAAATTAACACACATAAGAGCTCAAATCCTGGGGCAGAATCTCTGCTCCGCTGAGGGCTGGCTACCAGCTCAGCTTCCTCAAACATAAAGTGGGAAGAGAAATCCCCGCCTCAGTAACTTAGGGGTGACAAATGAATACACTCAAAGCACCTCATCACAGGTCTAAATCACTGTTATGATGACAGCACTACAGTGACAGCTGGACCCTGCAGGTCTCCCTGCTCTCACAACCTCTCCAGCACTAAGTCAGAAGGCAAATCCCTCTGAATATCTAAGGCTGGACCTCTCCCTGCAGCTCACTGACATGAACATCACATCACAAACCACACCCAGGTGTGACGTCAGGTTCCACGCTGCCATGATGCTACAGGGACTTGCTGAAAATACCAAGCCCCATCATCTGATTCCCCTGCACCAGTTACAAGTTACAAGTGCTGGAAGTTCAATGCCCTGTTCTTTTTACACACTTCACATTTCCCACAAGCTTCAAGTCACCTCAGTGGCTCTCCGTAAGAGAACTTCATGAAGTAAATGTGCCAGGAGTAATGAAACATCTAGATGGACCTGAACGGCACTAATTTATGACAAGATGGGGGTGGGGTGCAGCTCAGTAAGAGTGTTTGTCTAGCATGTGAGGCCCTGGGCTCCATCCCCTGCACAAGGAATTAAAAAATGAAGACCTAACCTCAGTCACCTGCTTCTGTGACCCCCTCCAGAGGCCCCTGCATGGACATGTCTAAAGCACTGCATGTTAAAAAGTAGTTCTAGTCACAATTCAACACAGAAACTAAAAAGGACACAAATGCCATCATCAGGGCCACTCTCTCAGAGGGCTGGAGGGGACCCAGGCTTACTCCTCTGAGATGCCCTCTGGGGTTTCTCTGAGGACTCCAGCCCACCCCTCCTCCCCGCCAGGCCCTGCAGGGCAGTCTGTTCTGGGCACCTACCTGCGAGTGCTTGCTGGACCCTGCTGGGCTTTGGCATCTGCACGGGCACAGTGGCGGGAACACTTCCTGGGCTGCTGGAGGGACCGCTGGGGAGGGAGGCACTTGGGGAGGAAAGAGAGCAAAGCTGAGTGTGTGGTACTGCCTGGCCTCAGCAGGAACAGGGAGCATGCTGCCTGGGAGCCTGGCCGAGGCTGCTTCCCACCTCCACCAGCCACCACTGTCCCAGGTACCTCAGGTGAAGGGCGCCCTGTGTTGGGCAGTTCAGACACTTAAAACAATCCTGAAAAAGGGCTCACTAGCTTCATTAACATGAGGGCTTGCAGGTACCTGTGCAGAGCGGATGCTAGGCAGAGTCTACTTTAATAAGCCATTGAGACGAACTTAGTCAGGACCAGGGCAAACCTGTCACATGATGGTCCCATGTTGTGGGAGCCCTGCCAAAACCTCATCACTTCGGTCCAAGCACAGGAAATGACTAGGCAAACCCAAATCAAGGGACATTGGACTAAGCACCTCCTGAAGGATGGCTGTGGAAGATGAAGAGCGACTAAGGACTGTTATGTCCTACAGAACAGGAGGAACGACACCACACATAAACTGGGACCCTGTGCAGGATACTGGGACAAATCAGGCAGGGGTGGAAAACTGATAAACATCAGAAAAAGCCTTTAGTTAATAGCACTGTACCAACCGGGCACCAGTGGCTCACACCTGTAATCCCAGCTGCTCAGAAGGCAGAGATCAGGAGGATCAAGGTTTGAAGCCAGCCCATGCAAATACTTTGAGAGACTCTATCTCAAAAAAATCCATCACCAAAAAAAGGGCTGGTGGAGTGGCTCAACATGTAGGCCCTGAGTTTAAGCCCCAGTACCACAAAAAAAAAAAAAAAAAAAAAAAAAAAGTATCGTATCTGTGGCAACTTCCTCATTCTGCCCACACAGTGGTTACTAAAGATGTTGACAGTAGAAGGCATCAGGTGAGGGAGATATTTCAACTCTGCACAGGATAGCTTTCCTGTAAATCTAAAATTAAAATTAGTACACAGGGCTCATGGGGTAGCTCAAGTGCTAGAGTGTCTGCCTAACAAGTGTGAGGCCCTGAGTTTGAACCCTAGTACCACTAAATAAAAATAATTAGAACGAAATAAATCCTGGGAGGTTTTTTTTTTGTTTTTTTTTTTAAATGAAGACATTGGGGCTGGGAACCTATCTCAGCGCTGGAGTACTTGCCTAGCATGGGCAAGATCCTGGGTTCATATCCTCAGCACCAAAAAATATATAATTTTAATGAAGGTTTAGTTTTCCACAGTGACTATGTTCAACATCATTTACCTGTTGTAAGACCTCATGTTTAAAATGGCAGCAAATGGGCTGGAGGTGGGGCTCAAGTGGCCGAGCACCAGCTTAGCAATCGCAAGGCCCTAAAACTCATGCATATGTGTGTGTACACACAGTAGCAGATGCATGCCACTTCGGTTTGAGATGAAGCTCAGCACTGAGAACTCTTGCTGGCAGACAAGGCCCAAGTTCCTGCCAGTTCCTCCTCCCCCCATCCATCCTTGCTCTTTTGTAAATACAAGATATTAAAATTACAAAACCCTCCCACATGGTCTCACGCTGGAGCTCCCAGGACAGGACCTTTGCTCCACAGGGTTGGGCCCAGCCCAGAGCAGGAAAGAGACCCAGACAATGAGGGCTGGCTCCTTTCTGCTACCCTTACAGCTGTCTACAAACCAGCCGCTGCTCCAAAGGCTGCCCCAGGTTTTGCCCTCTGCCCAGCCACAAAATCACAGATCCTGCAGGTGTAAACCACAAGGAGCTGGCTGCTCTCATCTGAACCAGGAACCCTCACACCCAGTTGGAACTGACACTGCCAGGGCCTACTGCGGGGTCAGGTGGTCTAGCAGTGGCTTAAGTGAACAAAGAGGTTTTATTTGAACGTCTTGAATGTTCCTTCCAAACAGGACAGACTGCGTGGCTGGGCTACAAAAGTACTCTTAGCCGAGAGAGAAGGGTGAAGTGGAACTTGAGCGCCACTCTGATAATGCAGAGAAGGGCTGGTTGCTGGGCAGCTGGGCTGAACTCTTGGCGTCACTGAACTTTCAGTAAACAAGCTGTATGTCCTCCTGAGCCTGTTCCAACCTCTGTCTGTCTGGGAGGAAGGTGGACCATCTCTGATGGCCTTTGCGAATGGCTTGACACTATAGCTTAGGTCTCCCAGGGCAACTCTCCAGGGAGCACTGAGCTTGAGCCCTTAGCTAGGAGGCCAGAAAAAACAAAGAGCAAGTGCACAGTGGGCAAGAACAGCCAAGTCCATGATCTCCCCCACCCCCCAAGACTGGGGGTGGAGAAGCATGGAGTGGGAAAGAAGGCCTGGTCTGAGTTGTATCACCAAGGTCTAGCAGTAAGGATACCAGAGGGCAGCTCACCCTGAGACTGGAAAACAAAAACTATGACCTAGTTCTGTAGAAAATTCTCCAAATGTCACTACTTCTACAGATATCAGTTCCTTCTCATCTGTGTCCAGCAATACAAAAAATGAGCAACTCCCAAACTGCAGACTCTCAGGAGAGGAAAGACCCACAGAGCTCACAGACCCCCCCACCACCCTCAGAGCTAGACTCTCAGAACACTCGCTCCCCAAGGTAGGCAACATTTTTCCCAGCAAGCATCCTTCCAATGGCTGCTCAGGTACCCACTCCTCTCCCATTCCAGGGGCTCCCTACCAGGGTCTGCCTGGCTTTCATGTGGGACATTTCCAGATGAGCTGAGGACTTTGAGTGCTCTGTGCACACAGGAGTTGAGAGTCCCAGGCATAGGCAGAGCAAGGAGGCTGGAAGGAAGGAAATTCAAATCCTCTCCCAGTCCCTGTCCTGGGGATTGGGATGCAGCCAACACACTAACACTGCTCCCAGCACCTACACCCATGTGACTGTGCATGCTGGCCATGTCAAGTCCCCCTGCTGAGGTTAGATTCTCTAAAGGAAGAGGACATTTCCAGAAGGCCTCAGGGTGGTGGGGAGGCTCAACTTGACCACACAAATATCCCAGGTCCCCAAGTAGCAGACGGAGGCAAAGGCAGGCCCTCAGGGTCCTTGCTAAATCCTGAAAACCACAGCAATAATAGAGCAAAAGGAAACTTCAGAAACTGACTTGTCCAACACCTGATCTCAAGAGGGGACAAGAGGACCAGGGAAAAGGGCAAGTACTGACCCAAGGGCCCTTGCAAGCTAGAAAGGCCTCACCTGAACTCAAGATTCCAACCACACAGGCCAAAAGACAGCCACAGCCAGAGTGCTAGGTGGTGGCAGGAAGCAGGGGCCCTCTCAGAGGCATGGACAACAGCGGCAAGACCACGGCAGACAAAGCCACTAAGGAGAACTGTGTTGTAGGGCCATTTGGTGAGGGGCACAGCTCCCATGGGCTTAGAGTCTCAGAGTTGCTGGTCAGAAGCACCACCCAAGTCATCAAGATGCCAAGTGAGACGTCACACCCTCTTACAGAGACAGGAGTATGCATGACACATTTTGGAAAGTTCTCCACCCACCCTCATTAGACACAAGTTTTGATGCTTAAAGGGATAAACCTCAGCTCCCAGGAAACTCACTTACACCTAGCAGCTCAGTTACAAATGACAGTTTGTCACATATTTACTGCAAATTCCCAGGGGGCACAAGGAAATCACACAGCCAGTTTCACCCCAATTGAACAAGAAGCCATTGGAAATCATAAACATTCCAAAAACAAAACAAAAAAAGGACATGAGTTCTCCCAAAAAGCCTGCTGTGTCACCTCCTCTGCCCCCTCTCTCTGTGGGCAGGCTAACTTTCACCTAATGCTCCTGATGTCTTTGGCTTTGAAAACTTGACCACAGCCCGCAGCGAGAACAAGGAGCCAGATGTTTCAGTGCTCTCAGTGGCGGCTGGATAAGAGGTCAGGGGCTTATTACAAGCCATCAGAGGAGGGCAACTGAGGAAGGTCACACTATGAATTAGACATGGGAAAACCCTTGTCTGCTTTCACAGGCAGGTAAGGCCTGTGAAAGCACAATTATACCCATCCCGGCTCCAGAGAAGCTGGAGGAAACAGGGATGCACACCAACCCAGGAAGCAGGCTGCTCTGAGGCTGTCAACCAACACAGCCGGCTGGCCTGGTTCCTTCTGGCTCTAGCCCAGGGCACAGGGCAAGCAGTGACACGCACGGCCAGCCCAGCATGGAGGAAGATTGCTGGCCTGGCTATCCCATCCTCTTGTCACCTGCCAGCCTGCACACAGGGCCCCAACAGTATGTGCAGGCTCACAGCTGGGGAGGAAAGACCCCATCAAATACAAGAACACTGTTTAGGGGAAAGCAACGGGACCTCCATATGAGAACAAAGGAACAAAGCCCCATTAAGGTGCCTGACTCAATCCCACAATTCCAGGACTAGCACTATTTAGAAATTTGTCTCAAAATAATTTGTAAGAAGCCCCAGGAGGCTTGGTGAAGCTGCAGTTCTGCTAATAACTGCTCCAGGCTGGTGACAGAGTGTCCCATTCCCTTGAACAGGACTGACCTACACACTAAGCAGGGAGGTGAGTGGAGGGATCCCTGGAGCCCTGCTCGCGCACGTCCAGGTGAAAGTCCAGAGGGCCTAGCAACACCTCCCTGGACTCCTAATTCCCAGGAACAGATCCACAAGCCCCACGTCTGGAAGGAGAAGCCGTGGAAAAAGCTGATCCATACAAGGCCATGACCCTGCCTCTCCAGGGAGCACAGCCTCACTCGCCACCTGCCATGGTTTCTGCCCTCCTCCTTTCTCAGGCAGCCTCAAGACCTCAAGACCTCTCCACGGATCCCACAGAGCACACTCTTGGGGCTGGCTTTAACCCTAGCTCTGCTGCTTGCCGGCTGTGGGGCCAAGCTCATGGGCCTGATAAGCCCATCTGTAAGTTACCTAGCTCAAGGCTATCATGAGGCCCAAGGAAATTGCTCACATAGCCTGGCATATCAGAAGCAGTGCTGGTGGGATCTTGTGAAACCCAAAAACACTAGCTGCGCATGAGGTCTTTGTCACCTCATGTGGTGATCTGGACAGAGATGGGTGATAAGGTGGCACAAGTTGAGGACTGGCCATCAGTCCAGATCAACATGATACTCTCCTCCCTGGGAGACTGGGGACCAGGCTGCACACTCCATCACCACCCACCCAGGTCTCTCCCAGAAGACAGCCCCACCCCAGCTCCCAAGTGTTCTCCACGCCTAACACTGAGCCCTGCTCAGCTAATTCAGTCACTCTGAGAGCACTCTGCAGAGAGTCTTGACCAGCAGGTCCTCGTCAAAATTCAAAACTGATCCCAGCACTTGAGAGGCTGCAGCAGGAGAAGCACAGGTTCAAGGCCAGCCTGGGCTACATAGTGAAACCCTGCCTCAAAAAACAAAACAAAAAAACACAGGGCTGGCAGAGTGGCTCAAGTGACAAGAGTGCCTAGCTAGCAAGAATGAGGCCCTGAGTTCAAACTCCAGTGCCGCCAAAAAATAATAAAATAAAAAAGGGCTGAAATGTGTTTTGCTGGGTGCTAGTGACTCACCCCTGTCATCTTAGCTACTCAGGAGACAGATAAGAAGGATCACGCGTGGTTAGAAGCTAACCTGGGCAATAAGTTCTTAAGACCCTATCTCAAGAAAACCCTACACAAAAAAAGTGCCAGTGGAATGGCTCAAGGCGTAGGCCCTGAGTTCAAAGCCCAGTACTGCAAAAATAAATAAATAAATAAATAAGACCGCTGATTTTCACCCAGGAGGCAACTAGAGGCCTCAAGGATTGAAGGTCAGGTAGTTCCACAGGTTGCCAGGCTGTGGAGGGTCATGGCACCTCAGCACCCATGTCATGGGGCACATGCAAATGGAGACAACTCAGCAGGACAGCTAAGGGTGACAGATACCTGGGTGAGTCTTCCCAGGCAGGTAAAAGCAGAAGCCCGGCCTGCTGACAAGGCATGAAGGACGGACAAAACGACCAGCACTAAGACGGTACCTGGCTCCACTGGAAGCGGAAGCAGATGGTCCAGGGGGAAGGAGCTGCGGTCCCAGGTGGGAAAGGCTGGAGCGGAAGAGGGGCTGGCTCCCCAGGGCGGGAGCTGCCCCACCCCAGGGGTTGGTGGTGTTCAGCCTGGGCGCAGACCTGGCCCCAAAGAGGGAGGGTTTGTTGTACGGGGCAAAGGCCTGGTGGGCCCCAAAGACAAAGGTGGTCCTGTGGGGGGCTTGGGGGGCAGGATATGCAGGGAGGTTGGTCATAGAGTGGCGGTAGCGGCCTGACACGGGGCCAGTTCCACTGCCATGGAGGCACTGATGGCAAGAGCAGGCGACTCCAGTGTGGCCTGGCGGAGCGATGACAGTGGTCACTGGATAAGGTGGCCCTACTTGGCGCCGCACGCTCCGGCAGAAACTGGAAGTCTTGTTGGTTTGAGTGTGGGTGGTGTAGTTGACAGTGTAGTTGTACCCCAGGGGAGCCAAGTCCACAAGCTGGGTGCCCCTGGCCACCTGCTGCTCCAGATAGTCACAGACGCTGGCTTCGTAGGCTGTCCATGATCCGTCATCACCCAGCCACTCCCAGAGGATGCCCCGGCCTGGGGCTGAGTGCTGGGGGAACAGGTGCCTGCGCACGGCCCGCATGGTGCCTGTTTAAAAGGAGCAGTGTATATCAGCAGGGAATTTTATGATTCTTTCTCCTGTTGTTTGCTTGTTTCACTGCTAGGGATGGAACCCAGAGCCCTGTGCATGCTAGGTGAATGACCTACTGTTGAGCTACACCCTGAACCCCAGGTCCCAGTTGTGCCCCTCACACACCATCACTGCAGGTACATGGTCATGGTGCTATCTGACTCAAGGGCTGGTGTTGGCTGTTCTTCTGGATTTAGAGATAGTGACTCTAGGCAAAGAAACCAGGGCCCCAAAGGATCTGGAGTGGCAAGGAGATATTCACACTGACAGGACGGGGATGCTAGAAGCTCAGGTCAAACGCTATGTACAGCTTAGACTTGAGGAGGCTTTAGGAACACCATTTCCTTTTGTTTCTCCAATGCTAGAATAAAGCCCAAGGTTCAATGTATGCCAAAGCATGCCCCGACAGTCCTCAAAATATTCTGATAATTGCCTTGCATGCATGAGGTCCCTAGGTTCAATCCATAGCACTACACCAACAAGTGATGCGATGGTGGCTCGTGCCTGTAATCCTAACTACTTGGAGGCTGAGATTGGAAGGATCAGACTTTCAGGTCAGCCTGGGCAAAAAATAAGACTCCCATCTCAACTGAAAAAAGCTGTGTGTAGAGGGGGTACATGTCTGTCATTCCAGCAGCAATAAGAAGCTTAAAATAGAGAATCACAGGCTGGTGGAATGGCACAAGCAGTAAGACTGCCTGCCTAGCAAGCATGAGGCCCCAGTGCTGCTTTAAAAAAAAAAAAAAAAAAAAAAAAACAAAGATCACAGGGCAGACTGGCCTGGGCAGAAAGAAGTAAGATCCTATCTCCAAAATGACTGTAGTAAAAAAGGTTGAAGGTATGGCTTAAGATGTAGTGCGCCTGCCTAGCAAGCACAAGCCTGAATTCAAACCCCAGCACTGCCAAAAAAATTATATATGTGTGTTTATGGATACAATATGTATAAATAAATATAAAGAGAAGACAAAAAAAACATACAGAAAATGAGATCACACTTAGTGGAAGGACGGAGAAGAAAGCAGCGTAGCTGGTACCAATGTGATAGCACAATGTACTTCTCCATTGGGTCTTATGAGGGACGGGGTTTAAGTAAGGTCGTCTGTAGTGACACCACACTGAAAGCATTTCCCGCTCGCTCCACTCGTTACACCATCAGCACTTCTCATCTTTAAAACTTTGCCAATCCTTTCTTTATTATATAATTCTCATACATGGACATACCATTCTCTTTGATCTCTCAAGTCCCATCTATTGGGAAATACTGCTGAGTAGCTAGGATTACAGGTGTGAGCCATCCAGCACCCAATCAGAATTTTTTTTTTTTTGGCTTTGTGAGACAGGGGACTCACTGTGTCCCAGGCTGGCCTGGAACTCACTGTGTAGCCTGGAGTGCTCTTGAACTTGAGATCCTCTTGCCTTAGCCTCCTGAGAGCTGGGCTTACAGGCATGCACCACTATGAAGCTTCACAGGCCTGAAACCACCATGACGCACCTCCATGCTGGGTACCTGGCTAGCCTACCAGAGAGCCTCAAATCCCCACTAGCTGACGAAGGCATTTCTGGTTTAGGAGGCAAGGGCAAGGGGCCCGGAAAGGCCTCTATAATGGGCTCCACAGCACCCACTGTTACTACAAGGAATTCCCCCACCTCTCTCTCAGCTGTGTCCGCTTCAGGGGTAGGGACAGAGCTCTGTGAGTCACATCTGTGATCCCATCACCTACCTTGGCACCTGGCCCAAAGCAGGTGCTAAAACGCGTGCTAGAAGCAGAAGGGTCTTACCAGTGTCCTGGCGGAACTGGGTCCAGCTGGGGAGGTCAATGATGTAGGGGGCCAGAGAGGGGTCCACCTGGCCTAAGGGGATGCTGTGGGCCAGGCTCCCCAGCCCGAAGCGCTGGCCCTTCTGCTGCACAAACTGGTGCTCAATGTAGGTACACACGGCGGCGCTGTAGGGGTGCCAGGTGCCCAGCCCGTCCTGCCATTCCCACACGGCCACGGCCACAGGGCTGGGGTACACCTGAGCCAGGGAGAGGCCTGGGGCCATGGCCATCTTCCCCAGGACTCCCTCTGCTTTCCCAGACAGCTTCAGACCACTCTGGGCCGCAGTCTGGGGTTCATTGCCCAGTGCCTCCAGCAGACCTGGAAATAAGACAGACACGCAGTTACCTGTGCACATCAGAAGCGCTGCCAGACAGTCTGTCAGTACAGGGAAAAGAAATGAGGCTTTCCATAGTGCCTTAAGGGCATCATGAACCAAGTACTGGATTGCACTGATCTCTTCACTCTGGAAGCCAGGAGAGTTCAGTCAGTCCTGCAGCCTATCAAGCTTGGAGAATGTTCTGGAAGATGCAGTGAAGAAGTGCAGAATGCTGGTCGTTAGCCCAGCTTCTACCCCGTTCCCAATCACTTCCCTCTGACCTGGCTACCTGCCTTGTCCTTTCACACTACATCTGAGCCACCTGAAATCCTTGTGGATGAGGCCATGAAGGAAGGAGTCTGCGGCCCCCAGCATGGGTTTGTCTGTGAGATATGGATAATGCCCTTTGTACTGCAGGTGAGGCAGTGCTATGTCTCAAGGACAGAGAAGCTCACGTCTGTAATCCCAGCTACTCAGGAGGCAGAGAGCAGGAGGATCATGATTTGAAGCCAGTCACTGTCTCAAAAATACTCAGCACAGAAACAGGGCTGGCAAAATGTCTCACGTGGTAAAGTCCCTACCTAGCAAGTGTGAGGCCCTGAGTTCAAACCCCAGTACTCCCAAAAAAAAAAAAAAGGAGGGGAGCAAGAGGGGGCAGGGGCAGGGGGGGAATGGCCCAAACAGTGTATGCACATATGAATAAATGAATAAAGAAAAAAAAAAAAGAAACAGGATAGGGCACTAAGACCCCCTAGGGGTCAGTGGCAGAGCTGGTACTGGTATTGAAGGCCACATTCTGGTCCTCCACGTCTCCAATGCATCACCAAACACAAGAGGAAGGAAGCTAATAAACAGTAAAATACACCTTGCAACTCCCCGGTCTCCCCACTGCCCACTCTGTGCCTGAGCCTTGCTGACCAGCTGTGAAGCATCCACACCCAGGCCTCCACCCATCTCAGGATGTTATTCTCCCAGTCACCAGGGTCCACCCTCCTCCCTAGTGAACTCACCACATCCTTCATGCTTCTCCTAGCCACCTGTCATATAAACTCACAGCCCTGAACTCCTCCTGTCACCAAGTGGAACTCTACTGACCAGAGAGACATATGGGCACGGTGCTGGCCCATGTTTTCCTGTCCCACAAGAGGACAACAGCCCAAGGAGCCTGCCCTGTTCATGGCTATAATGGATGGTACCCAGCAGGGGCTCGATGTGTGCTCAGCGTTCTACCTAAGCTAGCTCAGAAGATGTGGGCAATGACATCTACAACTGTCCCACTAGACATGGTCTGCCAGGGCACCATATTACCACCCCCCTCAGCACTGGCTCTTGGAGTGTGGCGACAGGGTCCACACTTAGTGACAAATACCAAATGTACCTGTCTCTTTTAAACCTGTGTGTGACAAGGTAGCATTTCTCCACATTAGGAAGATAAGGCTCAAGCAGGTCCAGAGACTCATTCAAGGCCACATCCATCCACCCTACAGAGAGGCTGTGCAGGCAGAGGGCAAGCCTAGATCCACATGGCTGTCAGGCACATGGTCTCAGAGAGAAAGGCTCAGGCTCCTGCTCAGATGGGAGGAGGAAGGGAGAAATCAGCATGCCCACGAGGGACCCTGGGCTTGCATGACAGGGTCCCACTCACACAGTCTGCCGATTCCACAATCACCCCCTTGAGGATACATAGCAATTCTATCCCCAGTTCTCAGGTGTGGAGACTGACAATGACAAGGCTGGGAGGCTGCTATCCTTAGGCTGCACTACCTCTCAGCCTTCAAGGAGAAGGCCAAGACCAAGGCTTCAGCAGGGAGGAGGGTCTGGAGTAACTGCAGCAAAGGGAGTAACAGGGACTCTGATCCCTGTGTACTCTGCATCACCCCTGCAAGGGGACCTGGGCTCTCTCCCAGTTTGCTCACTTTCATTTGGAAAGCGGAGATGTTGATCTTTAGGGGACCAAGGACCAAGACGATCAGTATAAAGCTGTACAGACCCAGCACCAGCATGTACACACACACACCCCAAAGGCAAACAAGGGATGTGAATCAGGCCCATAAGGACGCTGAGCACACCTGCCACAGAGCTGCCAAGGGCAAGGCTGGCTTAGCTCAGTGCCTGCAATTAGAAAGCTCTGTAACTGCACGAGGTACAAGTCAGAGGACTGATTTCAGAGCCAGGAACTCCCGAGGTGCTCATCTCCCAGGCAGCAGGGCCTGCCGTATCATCAGCCGCAGGGAATGTTCCAGCATGTCCGCCCATCCCCAGATGAACCAACTCCCACGAACAGCCAGTGAAACAGCAACTTTCCCTCAAGCTTTCTGTGTAGGCACGAGACTCTCACAGATCCAGGACCCACTGGGGTCCAGGCCCTGTCAGGGTACCAGAGACCCAAGATGTGGCTAAGTGGCACACAAACTCCTCCACAGCCAGCCTGTCTCCACTCACAGAAGACCTCCATCTTCATTCCGTTATACGCAGCCACAGCCAACTCTAGCAAGTCCCAGAACACTGTGGGCCCAGCCACTGATGCTGCTGCTGATACTGAAGACCAGACTGCACCCTCCCTGCATGGGAGACCCTATCTAGCATGCCCATCTTTCTGGCCTGTAACATGGCGCCTCTGACCCACAACCTCAGAGGCCACACTCATCACAAGAGGCCTGTATTTCCTGGACTCAACTTCCCCAGTGCAACAGCAACTCCCTCAGGACAAAGATCAGGCTGACTCCAAGCTGGGGCTCTCTAAATGCTCCAGTGTGGAGAGGCTAAAGCCCCAGAGGACAAAGAAGGGGAGAACCTCCTGTTCCCAAACACGCCCACTGGTGTTCCACTTGAACCTAGCAATTATTCACAATAGAGCCCTGTGTGGATGCACCCTTCTTTGCCTCAGCCTCAGCCGGCACCAAGCTGAACTTCAAAACCCTAATTTGTTTCAGCACCTAATGATGGGAGTTACCTACAGTGTTCTTAATTATGAAAATTATTATTATTGGCTGTGAAAAAAAGCATCAATCTGGAGGCAACTTAAACACCCTACAATATAGGATTCTTTTTCTTTCCGAGAGCCTCATGTATGCTAAGCACATGTTCAACCACTGAGTTACACCAGCTCCAATATGGAAAGTCTTAAATAATTAAGGAATATCCTAATACTAGAATATGAACTGGTCTTAAATAATGTTTAAGAAAGTTAACAAAAGGCTTAAGGATCTAAGATAACACTCATGACAAGTTAGAAATACGATGTGCAAGTGCACATGCACACTAAGACCTCAGGTGGACACACTCTGCTTGGTGTCTTTGTCATCCACGTCCCTCAACCCCCCCTCAGTCACCCTCAAAGGCAGAGATTATCATTATTTCATGGGCAAGGGAACTGAGACTCAAAGAGATTACGTACTTACTCCAGGTCACAGACAACGCATCCAGTCTGTCACACCTGAAAGTTCATATTCTCTCTACTTTATAAGATCTCAATTTTATTTTATTTATTTATTTATTTATTTTGGCAGCACTGGAGTTTGAACTCAGGGCCTCATGCTTTCTGGCTTTCTTAACTGCTTTTTTGTGATGAGTTTTTAATTTTTTTTCTTTTTTTTGCAGTACTGGGATTTGAACTCAGGGCCTACACCTTGAGCCACTCCATCAGAACGTTTTTTGTGATGGGCTTTTTCGAGATAGGGTCTCAAGAACTATTTGCCTGGGCTGGGCTCAAACCACAATCCTCCTGATCTCTGTCTCCTGAGTAGCTGGGATTACAGGTGTGAGCCACCAGCACCTGGCAACACAGCCCAATTTTCTAAGTTGCCCCTCCTTTGCGTACTTTCCAAGAAGCATGGGCCAGAAACTCCATACCTCACCAGCCGACCTGTGTGCAGAGAGATCTGTGAGCAGAACATGACCTCTTCCAGGCTTCTTCCAGTGCAGATGGAGCTCTGTTCACAAGCTTCTCCAAAGACTTGGGAAAGATGGATTCAGAGCACAAACCTATCAAAGAAGCACTGTACTTTCCAAATCTTGTTTGGAAAAAAAACAAACACCCAATATGGAGGTTGGGTGTTCAGAGTGGTAGAACACTTTTAACACATGCTTCCATTCCCAGCATCAGAAAAATAAATAAAAAATTAAAATTCAAAAAACTATACTGGAAGTTTTTTTTATTGCTGCCTATCAAATAAATTTAAAAAACAAAAAAAACAAAAAACTTTGCCAGGTGCCAGTGGCTCACATCTATAAATCCTAGCTACTTGGGAGGCTGAGATCAGGAGGATCATGGTTCAAGGCTAGCCCAAGCAAAGTTTGAGAGAACCCCATCTCCAAAATAACCAGAGTAAAATGGACTGGAGATGTGGCTCAAGGGGTAGTGTCTGCTTTGTGAACACCTGCTTTCCAAATGAGAAGCCCTGAGTTCAAATCCCAGTACTGCCAAAAAAAAAAAAATAAAATAAAAGCTGAACACTTTTAAAAAGCTCATGACCACCACCACTCTGTTGCTTGCCATCATTACTTGAGCCTTGGCTGCTACTCTCCCAGTGAGGCTTCTGCAGTAACAGGCCTTGCCAACTTATCATGGCCCCTCCTTGTGAACAGACACACACCTATCTCCATCTCCAACAAACCACCCACCACTACAGCAGTCCTGTGAGCTGGAGGTGGGGCTCAGTTCTTTTTTCATTGGCAGTGTTGAGGCTCTCACCCAGGGCCTCCCACATGCTATGCACTCTACCACCCCAGCTAGAGGCTACCGTCTTTAAAAGACACGGCTCAAGCCAATGCCACCCTGACCCAGTTTCTAACAGTGGCAGGAGACTAAACATGATTTGTCCCCGGCACACTAGGTGATCAGAAGGGAAGTGCTGGTTTTTCTGGCAGGAGCTGCCTGGGAGCCTTCCAGAGGCAGGTCATTACAGGACCTCCAAATGAGGATCAGAAAACCACAGAGCAGCCAGGACCTGGGCCCCAGCAACCCACAATTCCTTTGGGGACAGCCATCTCCTCTATAACC